GTGAGGAGCAATGGCTTGGAAGAACACTCCAGAGGAGAGTGGAGATCCATCCCTTAGGAAATGCCCCATCACCAAGGCACCAAGGTCAGTACAGTGTGGAAACGCACAGACATCCAGAAAGTGAAGACCAGTGAAGACTCAACCAACTCATTTTACTCTTTTTTTTTTTTAATGGATTATACTATTTAAGTTTCCCAATTTTTCCCCCTTTCTGCTCCTCCACCCAGCATCCCCCACTCCACCCGGCAATTCCCCGAACTTTGTTCATGTCCATGGGTCATGCATGTAAGTTCTTTGGTAATTCCATTTCCTATACTTGTTCTTAACATCCCCCTGCCTACTCCGTAACTATCAATTTGTACTTCTTAATCCCTTCACCTTTCCCACATCCTCTTAGCCCCCACTCCCCACTGGCCACTGTTCCAGTGTTCTCCATATGTATGCTTTTGTTTCTGTTCTACTCATTTGCTTAGTATTTTTTTTAGAGTCAATTGTTGATAGTTATGTATTTATTGTCATTTTTAATGTTCATGTAAATTGTTCTTTTTTTCAATTAGTATATCCTTCATTTCTGCCTGGGTCTTTTTTATGCTGTTGAAGTACCCACTGAGTTCCTTGAGCATCCTTACGACCAATATTTCAAACTCTGCATCTGATACATTGCTTATCTCCATTTCAATTAGCTCTTTCTGGAGTTTTGTTCTGTTCTTTCATTTGGGCCATATTTCTTTGTCTCCTCATTCTAGCAGCCTCCCTGTATTTGTTTCTCTATATTAGGTAGAGCTGCCTTGATTTCCTGTTTTGGTAGTGTGGCCTAAAGTAGTAGGTGTCCTGTAGAGTCCAGTGACACAGCCTCCCCTATCCCCCAAGCTGTGTGCTTGAGGTGTTCCCTCCATGTGGGCTGAGTATTCCCATCTCTTGTAGGTGAGTCTTCATCGCTGTCAGCAGGTCAATGGGAAGGATTTACCCTGTCTAAACAATTGGTAGGACTGGCTGTGACCCCTGACCAGCAACCACCTCCCTCTGTGGCTTGTGGAGGTGGTTAGGTGCTACTTCGACTTGGTGTGTAACTCCGCTGGATGTGCAGGCTCTGGGGTGTCCCAGGTGGTGCAGGCCAAGGTCAGCCTGCACCTGTGTTCTGTCTGGGACCCCCTTGGCGGAAGCTATAAAGCAATCTGCAGATGACTGCTGCTAGTCCCTGGCTTGGGGCCACTCAACTAGAGGTACAGGGGGTTGACGGGGAGGCGTGGGGGGCATGGTTTGGGCTCAGCTCTTGCTTATTTGAGGGGATTTAGGAAGGTCTGAAGCCTGGCCTAGCCCAGCCCTTCATATGGAAAAGCCACTGTTACCGGCTTGGGCAGGTCTGTAAATTGGATGGGGTGTTGCCTTAGGTGATCATCAGGCTGGGGCTGAGCCAGGTTGATGGAGATTCAGATATGGTGCCCCCGCACTATGGCTCTGTGTGGGGGAGGGCTCAGAAAAGCTACAGTGGCCACTGTGTGCAGTTCTGTCTGGGAGGAAGCTGTCCCCCAGCTCTCACTCTGATGCCAGACATGTCAGTTTCTCCCTGTATTCCACTGATGCCCTTCAAGGTGCTGTCCCGGGGCTGGAGCCCAGAAGGAGTGAGTCTGAGTAAGTCCCTGTATGGTGTGAGTATGATATGGTAAGAGGAGAGAGGCCTGAGAATCCCCTAGTTTCTTCCACCGACCCAACTCTTACTAGTTTTTGTAGCCAGAAATTATGGGGACTTACCTTCCTGGCATTGGAACCCTGGACTGGGTGGTCTGGTATGGGGCTAGGATCCCTTGCTTCCAGCATATCCATCCATTTTATATCCACCACATGTGGGTTTGGGACCAGCTGGTTCTGTGTCTTCGCATATTCCCCCCTCCATCCCTTTTACCCGCCTGGATGAATGTGGTTTCTTTAATTCCTTGCAGCTCGTTGTTGGACTTCTGTACAGCTCAATTTTCTGACGGTTCTGAGTGACATTTGTTCTGTAGTTTAGCTGCAATTTTTCTGTGGTTGTGTGATGATGCGAGACACGTTTACCTATGTCTCTGTCTTCTATCTTTTCCTTTTTATGTCTGTACAAGACAGATATGACAGTCTATCTAAATGAGACTTTCAATTACCATAGAATTAAAATTCCTAAGCAAGAAGAAAACATTAAATCAACTAATTGTCAGTGTTTTTTCTTTTCTGTTTACAACTGCAGGTATCTTAGATATAATAAAATATGGCATATGGTTAGTGTGGGAAATTTTTAAAATATAGATTATAAAAATCACCAGAAATCTCAGACATTGTTTATATTTGTGTATGAATCCCCCAGTAATTTCCTCTGTATACAGATTTATCCACATGTATTTATGGGCAGTATACACTACCTGTATTCCTGGTCTTCCCTTTTTCTCGTAACACAGTGTACATTAAATGCCTGGTTAGGATAGTGTATGGATACACTGTAATTTGTTCAGCTAATCTCCATTTTATGGTCTGTAAATTCTGAAATATGATGCCCATCTCCCTCCAGAACTCTCGTGAGCAGTGCCATCTTCCTCTTTTTCCCAGCCCCGTGTTGTAAATCTTTTTATCTTGTCACTCTGATAGGCAAATCAGTAAGTTCCTTTTTCCTTGGACCCAGGGAAACCACTGGCAGTCATTTAGGTTTGAGGACCTGAAAGAGACGTTAGACACACTGGAAAGTAGGAATCACTAGTGAGCCGACGTGCTTGTCTCTACATCAATGCATTTCGCCACCCGTCCAGTGTACTGTTGAGGTCAGTCCCAGGCTCCTGTCAGGCTCTGTGTGACCTGAGCCTGCTTCTCTCTCCAACCTCTTCCGTAGTTTCTCCTGTTTTCTTACTGGTCTCCAGTTCCCTGCCTGCTTTCTGCTACTGAGACACTTCAAGTCCATTCCCACACTAGAGTGTTTCTGTTCGCTGTTCCTCCTGTCTGCAGTGCCTTTTGCACAATGACTCTCTCCATTGTCTAGCTCTCAACTTGACCACCCCCTTTCAGAGAGGCTTTCCCTTTACCTTTTCTCAGTGACATCCCTTTAGTCTCCATATTATTCATGCACTTTATTGGCCATAATCTCATGTTTATCTTTGCCTCTGGCCCTTCTTTGTCTTGTTCACTACTGTATCCCCAGTGCCTGGCATTGAGAATACACTCAATAAATATTGCTCAACTGAATCAATGGTATAAGATCAACAGGTAATACAGAGTCGAGAGGAATAGAAATCGCTCCTTACTACCCATCAGGGCAGTAATAGTCCAACAAAGAGTGCTTGGAGGGAGGCCAGCTGATCAGCTTTCCAGCATTTGCTTTGCAGTGGAGTGAGTGCTTCCTTTCCATCAGTGGCTTGGTAGCATTGAAAGAATTCTTGCACTGGATGTTGGGATTGACTAGATCATTTCCAAGGTCCACTTCCAACCCTTAAACTATTTTGATGATTATTCCAATCACTAGGCTATGATTCTTCCTTCAATGCAGAATCGCGGTGACCACTAGGTGGCACTTGATGATTCATTTGAAATCTGTTCATCAAACTCTATGAGGAAACTTACTTCCTCCAACATAGACGTGAAGCAAAAGCTTCACAGAATTCCGATCCCTTACTATGTATAACGCACACCAGTATTTTCTACTTTATTCTTTATTTTTTAAATACAGGTTTTCAGACAGTCAAATTGATTTTATGATATTAATGGGTCACAATTCACTGTAAAACACTTTTGGACCACTGAACAAGTTTACTCTTGTAATATTCTATAAGTGTTTTCCCTGGACAGTCTGAGCTTATAGCAGGTGGTGTTCTTAGTGAATACTTTGTATAATTCTGTGTTGAGTGGCTGCATTGAGTAGCTGAACACATGTGCTTTCTTATATGTGTCTACGGTTGGGTAAACATAAATGCAAGATTCTTCAGGGGACATACTTTTTTCAGAATTAGCATCTATTGCAGTCAGGGCTGCATTAAGCCTTGTCATTAGATATAAAGAAAAGAGATGGTATATGCTTCTGGGAGCTCAGACCCTGTCTGAGAGAGATAACACAAAACACATGCACACACACCCCGTTTAAATTTCAGCTTACTTATCAAGCAACATGGAAAAGAGTGCATTACTCAGGTATTAGTCAGGATGCTTTAGGCTGAAAGTAATGGAAGCCTGGCTCAGGTTGGCTCAGATGGTGAAGACATTTATTATATCACAAAATGTTCTTTGAGAGGTAGAGCAGGTTCCAGGCCCACAGTGGCCTGGCCTGCCCTGGCCTGGCCGTAGGGATCCAGGCTCCTTCCATGACTTGTCAGTGGTCCTAGGACTGGATCCACTCATGGTTTGCCAGAAGACTTCCAGTGTAATCAGTCTTCAGCTCCCAGACTCGGAACACTAAAACTTTAATTCCTTGTAGTGTAGACTGAGATAGAGTTTAGGCTACCAGAGCATTTTCTTAGTTGCAGTTGTTTTGTTTATTCATGGTCTTCCCCCCATGAGTACCTTAAGGGATGTGAAATAACTGGCACCAAATACAGAATCAGAAAAATTTAGGTCATTATTAGTGATGCTTGCCATATATTTCTGAATTTCCTTTTCTTTTGATCTAGAAGTTTTTGGCTGAGTAAAGTTATCTGACTAAAAGCTTTGGCCAGTGAGTTTACTGAGTGAATAAATTGTTGTAAGTCCTGTATATGAACATGGGGTGAGGTTATTTGCTGTTTAGGGTTCTGGGAAAGGACTTAGTTACATGAGGAAAAACAGAGGTAAAAAATGGCTACTGTGGGAAATGTGATGGGAAGTGGGTGTGAATATAAAGATAGGCATGTGACTCTGTTTAAATGCGTAATGGAACACTGAGCATGCATTTGTTGGCCTTTTGAGGTCAATAATTTTCTTCTGGATCCTTGACCCGGTTCCAGGAATGTAGCCATGAACCTTGGCTGGAAATACACTAATTTTTACTCACATGCCTTCTCTTTGATTCTTTTCAGGTTTGCAGTAAGCATTGGCTACTGGGATGACCCTTACATTCAGCATATTGTGAGACTGCCTAAAGAGAGGAAGGCCCCTGAAATTAACAGAGGTAAGTGACTTTTTCTCCCTATCATCTCATCAGCTGCATGGCCTGAGGTGTTAGGGATTCATTCTTAAAAAGAGAGTTCCAGTACACACTCTCTCCAATAATATGTGAAAGTGCCTATTTCCCAATATTCTCACCAACACAGTGTATTATGAAACCTATTATTTTTAAGAAATTGTATTTTTATTTTTTTAAAAAACTTTTATTGTGGATAATTCTTTAAAAGATTTTTCCCTGGCTGATGTGGCTCAGTGGATTGAGCACTGGCCTGTGAACCAAAGGGTCACTGGTTCGATTCGCAGTCAGGGCACATGCCTGGGCTATGGGCCATGTCCCCAGTGGAGGGGGTGCACAAGAGGCAACCACATATTGATGTTTCTTCTCTTTCTCTCTCCCTTCTCCTCTCTATAAAAATAAATTAATAAAATCTTTTTTTTTTTTTTTTACATATACCGAAAGGTCACAGGTTTGATCCCCAGTCAGAGCACATACTTAGGTTGTGGGTTCAATCCCTGGTTAGGGCACATACAGGAAGCAGCTCTTTGATACTTCTCTCTCCCCCTTCCTCTTTCTCTAAAATTGATAAACATATCCTCGGGTGAAGAGTAAAAATAAAAGTTTCACACTGATGGCCAAGATCTGATAATTATTGAAACTGGTCCACATATGATTCTACTTTTATATGGTTTAAAATTAAACCATATAAAACTAGAGGTTGACAAATATTGATGTGTGAGAGATACATTGATTGGTTGCCTCTAACATACTGCCCTCAGTGGGGAACTGATCTGCAACTCAGGCGTGTGCCCTGACTGGGAATCAAACCAGCGACCTTTTGTTTTCAGGCCTGTGCTCAATCCACTGAGCCACACCAGCCAGGGCTGGATAATTTTAAACCAACTGAGCCACCTGGCCAGGGCTCAGTGTGAAATTTTTAAATCTTTGTTAATCTAATATTGAGAAATGGTATCTTAGAGTAGTTTTATTTTGTATTCTTCTTGTGGGTAAGATTGAAGAGCATTTTCGTATGTTGAAAAGCCATTTATATATCTTTAAAAAACTTTTTAATTATTGATTTGAGAGAGAGAGAGAGAGAGAAAGGAAGTGAGAGAGAGAGAAACAGAGAAACATCATTTTATTCTTTCACTCATTTATGTATTCATTGGTTGATTCTTCTATGTTCCCTGACTGGTGACAGAACCTGTAATCCTGATATAGTGGGACAACACTCTAACCAACTGAGCTACCCAGCCAGGGTTCATTTATATATATTATCTTTTACTGTGAAGTATCTGTTCACATAACAGATTACATTTTGTTTCTTTAGTAAATTGGTTACACCATTAGGCTCTATAAGTAATTTCCATCAGGGAAGTTAAAGGACTTGAGAAACCTGACTTAGTTTCAGCCAGACTGAGAAATAGACCAAATGACAGTCATTCCTGTGTGTTCAGGGGATCTTGACTCAAAGACTGGATCCTAGAAGTAGGGGCTGTAAGAAATGCAAAGAGGACTTCTGGTCAACATGGTGGCGTAGGCAGACATGGCTCACCTCCTTCCCACAATCACATCAAAATTACAACTAAAATATAGAACACCCACCACTCTGAACCATCAGATACTGAGTTGAATGGAAGCCTGACAACTGTGGAACTAAAGAAATCACATCCATCCAGGGTAGGAGGGGTGCAGACTCATAACAGGCTGGTCCCACATCTATGTGTGGTGGGTAAAAATTCAGGAGGGATATCTCAGGAACGAGGAGTCCCAACCCCACACCAGGCCCCCCAGCCCAGGATTCCAGGGCCAGCACGATAAGTCCCCACAATTTTTAGCTGCAAAAGCTAGTGGGAGTTGAGTCAGTGGAAGAAAATTCTGCAGCCCTAAGCAGTTCCTCTTAAAGAACCCTCACATGTACTCCCCTACTTAGACTCATTCCCTCTGATCTCCAGCACCAGGGTAGTATCTTGAAAAGCAGAAAAGCACCAGTGGCATACAAGGAGAAACCGAAGTGTCTGTCATCAAGGTGAGCAGAGACCATTGTCCCTTTTCTGAACCCTCCCCCCACAGAACCACAGAGCTGGCAGGCAGGTGCCATCTCTGAGACTCCATCAACCTGGCTAACAGTTTACCCTGCCCTGGAGAGATCCCCTGACTCTGCCCATTCCAACTTAAGGGCCCACCCAAGCTGCTATTCCATATGAATGGTTAGTCTTGGCTCATGCTTCACAACTTCCTAAATCTTCTCAGACAAGCAGCAGTTGGCCTCAGTGAGCCCTAGACCTGGCACTAGCAGCAGCCAGCCTAGATTCAAAGCTTGGCTTCGCCTGAGAATCTCCAAGTGCAGCACAAGTAGCGGCCATCTCAGATTTGCTTTATAGCTCAGACTGTGGCCCTGGGCAAAACACAGGTTGGGGCTGACCTTGCCGTACGCCACCCGAGAAACCCCAGAGCATGTGCAACCAGTGGGCAGCTACAGACCATGTCAGAGTACCACCACCCTGCCCCTACACAGCTGATCCTCCATGGAGGGCAGACGGCAATGATAAGTGGTAACAGCCATTCCTTACAGCTGACTGGCCTGGGTAAAATCCCTCCCATTGACCTGGGATTTACCAACAACAACCAAGGCTCAACTACAAGAGGAGGGTGTACTCAGCCCAGGCGAAAGGTGCACCTTGAGTACCCAGCTTGGGTGATAGGGGAGGCTGTTTCAGTGGACCCTACAGGGTGCCTACTACATAAGGCCACACTACCAAGCCAGGGAATCAAGGCACCTCTACCTAATACAGAGAAACAAACACAGGGAGGCTGCCAAAATGCGGAGACTAATATGGCCCAAATGAAAGAACAGGTCAAAACTCCAGAAAAGGGCTAAATGAAGTAGAGATAAGCCATCTAGTAGATGCAGACTTCAAAACACTGGTTATAACGATGCTCAAGAAACTTAGTGAAGACCTCAACAGCATAAAAAAGACCCAGTCGGAAACGAAGGATACATGAATTGAAATAAAGAACAATTTATGGGGAAACAACAGTAGAGTGGATGAAGCTGAGCCCCAATGATTTTCCCATCAATGATTTGGAAACATCAGGAAGCAAAAAGCAACCAATCAGAACAACAAGAAGAAAAAAGAATCCAAAAAAACAAGGATAGTATAAGCAGCCTCTGGGACAAATTCAAGTGTTCCAATGTTTGTATCATAGGAGTACCAGAAGGAGAAGAAGGAGAAAGAGCAAGAAATTGGAAATCTATTAGAAAAAATAATGAAAGAAGTCTTCCCTATTTTGGTGAAGGAAATAGACATGCAAGTCCAGGAAGCACAGAATCCCAAACAAGATGGATGCAAAGAGGCCCACTCCAAGACACATCGTAATTAAAATGCCAAAGGTTAAAGATAAAGGGAGAATTTTAAAAGCTGCAAGATAAAAGCAGTTCATTACCTATAGGGGAGTTCCCATAAGACTCTCTGCTGATTTCTCAAAAGAAACCTTGCAGGCTAGAAGGGACTATCAAGAAGTACTCAAAGTGATGACAAGCAAGGGACCTACAGCCAAGATTGCTCTATCCAGCAAAGCTATCATTTAGAACCTAAGGGCAGATAAAGAGCTTCCCAGACAAGAAAAAACTACAGAAGTTCATGATCACCTAACCATTATTATATGAAATGTTAAAGAGGCTTAAGAAAAAGAAGATCAAAACTATGAACAATAAAATGGCAATAAATACATATCTATCAACAATTGACTCTAAAAACCAAACTCAGCAAACAAGCAGAACAGAGACAGAATCATGGATATGGAGAGCGTTTCAATGGTTGCTAGATGGGAAGGGGTGTTGAGGGATGGGTGAAAGGTGAGGGGATTAAGAAGTATAAATAGGTCATCACAGAATAGACATGGGGTACAGGATAGCAAATGGAGTAGCCAAAGAAGGTATAGGCATGTCCCACGGACTTGAACAATGGTGGGTGCATTGCCTGAGGCAGTGTGGAATGCTGAGTAGAGAGGGGCCAAGGGAGAAAAATCAGGACAACTGTAATAGCAGAGTCAATAAAATGTAATACAAAATAATAACAAAAAAGGAAATACATAGAAATTTTAAAATGGGTATTTCTGAGAATAAGGATGTGGTATTTATTTTGAGCTGAGGGTGAAACCAGGCATCACTAAGACTGAGCAAAGCCTGGCTAAAAGGTCTTCAGCTTCCTTCCTGTTCTCAGGGGGCAGGTTTCCTAATGAATGCCCCAGCAGCAAGGACCTGCTGTGGTGACTGTCATGGTGCCCCAGGCAGCATGTGAGCTCTCCTTTCCTTTTTCTCACTCTGGGTTTGAATCTCGTTTGGGGACCTACAACCCATGAGGAGAATGCTTTCCAAGCAGTGTGTGGTAAGGATATGTATTTTTCCAATACCCAATCCATTGTGTCTATTTCTATAAAATATAGTAAGTGTATTACTGGGAAAATAAATGAAGAAGACATACAAATTACAAGCAAAGTACTTATGAGTGGATTCAACAAACATAAAATTCCTTTGAAGTTGCAATAAAAGTTCCTAAATGCTAAATAAAAGTTGTCAAATTTGGCTCTCAGAACATTTGCACTTTGAGCAGCAGGGTTTCCTTTTTGCCTTCTATATTTCCCATATCCCGTGCTGTGCCTCCTCAGCCCAGAGCTTAACAAGTCATTTTATCAGGCAGCCCAGTGCTGGTGTCCTGCTCTGCCCCATCTGATGCTCTTAGATAAAGAGCAAGGCTCTAACCTGGCAGGGCTGAGATGAGAGCTATGTGATGAGAAATACCACTTTCTTTGCTTTGACATTTATCTGCCTAATTTCCTCACTTAAAAATATTTTTCATTAGATTGTGCAGTTTTGAGTTTTATCAGAGTACTGCCAAGCTTTCTCTGTGGCCATGAAAAAGGTCAAGAGGTCAAATTGCCAGAGGTCATTTCCAAGAGGAACATTTAAGTCAAATGCTTTGATGTTAAACCATTGTCTTAAGTAAAATTATAGGACATTTTATTTCTCTTAAGATAGTTAATTCTGTGATTAAATAGATTGTGCTTGCTTTGGTTCAGACAGCTTTAAGAAAAAGGGGGGAGAGAATTTGAAAGTTGCCAAGTCTCATATAACGTCTACAGTGACACTGCTGCCACTGAGGAAGGCAGGAGTGTTCTGCTTTTGTTCTCTTGTACACTTCGCAGGGACTGCTGCTGTCGTCACCGAGGAATAGCTTGTTTCCCTGTCTCTTTCTTAGGATATTTTGCTCGAGTTCATGGCATCAGTCAGCTCACAAAGGCATTTCTGCGGAAGACAGAATGTCACTGTCAAATTATAAACCTCGGGGCTGGGATGGATACCACCTTCTGGATATTAAAGGTAAATTAAAATTTTCCCTCCTCTTTCCCCAATTTTTTACATTTCATTTTTGAAGATGTTTACCTGGTCAAAAAAATTAAAGAATACATTAAAATGTGTGCAGTGACAGCCTATCTCCCAGCTGCTTGCATGCCCCCAACCACTGCCAGCCCCATAGTTCATCACACCAGGGTCCTAGTGAAGAACATGTGGGTTGTTTCTCATCTCTTGCTGTTACAGAGTATTAATAACAATCCTGTGTATGTTTTCCTCTGCATGTGTGGAAATACATCAGGAGAAAAAAATTCTATTACTGGAATGGTTGAGACAAAGAGCATGTGCATTTGTAATTTTGATGATAACTGAGATTTTATTGTTGGCATAATGGTGTCTTGGGTAAAATTTGGAGGTTTGCATGGCTGGGTGATGGTAATATGATGTAGAACCTTTTGTAGCCATTCTTTGATTTGATCTCTTAACTGATCTAGTAGGGTTCAGTAGCAGGTACAAATACACTCACAGGAAAGGGAAGTTGGGTCTAGTTAGTGGCAGAACCAGGACAACAGTGCTGGTCTTTGACTCCTTGGCTGGAATTTTACTGCCAAATCCTTTCCCCACAAAGACCTCACGGATTGCATTTCCTTTTTGGTAGATTTGTACAGATTTTTCTTGGTTCTTTTTTGAGGTTTGTTATGAGACAGTAATGGGTACATGTGTTTCCCCAGATTCCTTGCAGATGGAAACAAAGATAAATTAGAATGTATCAGTATAACCTGACCTGCATATCCCTGTGGTCCTATAACAGCTCACCTGATGAGAATGTCTGTGGTCATTAGAGTTCCCAACCTTTCTCTTACTGAAGCAAGAACACAGTGGCCTCAACTTGGTTTTGGCAGCCAAGAGAATGGTTGCCTCTCTTCTGCATTCAGGATAAGAATAACTCACATTGATGAAGTGCTTTTAATTGGGTTGGCCAAAAATTTCATTTGGTTTTTTTTGTACAATGGCTGTGGTAGTGCCTAATTGTCTTTAACTTCATTTGAAACAAATTTGTTAGATTATATTGTAACAGCTGTCATATTAGTGTGCACTTAAAAGCAACTCATCAAAATTGGGGAATTTTTGTGCAGCCATTTTAATACTGAAGATTGAAGAAGATACGCAACATTTTCGGTGTATTACGCTTTATTATTTCAAGAACGGTAAAAATGCAACTGAAATGCAAAAAAATTTTTGTGTAGCATATGGAGAAAGTGCTGTGAGTGATCAAAAGTGGTTTGTGAAATTTCTTGGTAGTATTGACATTTTGACCAAATAATTCTTTGCTATGGGGTTGTCTTATGCATTGGAAGATGTTTAGCAGTACTTGTGGCCTCTACCCACTAGAAGCCAATAGCAGGAGATAGCTGACATACTCAAAATATCCAAATCAATAAAGTTATTGAAACTCAAAATGAAAAATGTGTCCTTTATTTTATGGAAAAAAACATAATGGACTTTTTGGCCAACCCAGTACAAATAGGACCTCATGAGTTCACATGACAGCTTCATGAGGGAGTATACACAGGTGGACTGCAAGACCTGGTATCTTTTCCAGATTGCACAGCCAGTGACATTGGGACATGGAACAAACCTTTAGCTCCAGCTCGTCAACCTCCAGATCCCTTGTTCTCTCCTCTGCATCCAGTCCTGTGCTTGTTTGGAGGTGTCATTTCTCTGGGTAGATTGTGCCTGTCATGCAGTGATTAGGACATGGTAGAAGGCACTGGGGGAGAGTGTGTGGCCAGGTGCTGACAGGAGCCTCGGGAGGAATCCCTTCTCTGGGTATGACACCTTTTGACTTGGTCATGTGTGGAGTTTTTTTTCCCCTGCCTTGTAAATGGGTTAATAATAAATCTGAGATTTTTATTCCTGAACAAGGTACACTGAGTCTTAGGTGCCCCTTCCAAAGAAAAAGTTGTCAGTCAGTAGTGAGGAAGGAGAATAGCATATGGTCCGAAAGTCCTTTGTGGAAGTGTTTTTGTTGCTCTACAGGGTTTTTTAAAAACTTGAAGTTCCTCTTTTTGAAAGGAACAAAATTATGCTTGTTTGCTCTCTTAGAGTCAAAGTTGCATGGGCCTGGCTTACCACCTGTTTTTGTGAATTGAGTTTATTGGAACACAGCTACTCCCTCTTAGTCACGTCTTACCTATTGCTGCTTTAGAACAATGACAGCAGAGTTGAGTAGTTCTGACAAGACACCTGGAGCCTGCAAGAATAAAATACTTTCTGGCTCTTCACAGAAAGTTTGCTAATCCCTGTTTTAGAGATATTTGTGCTTCTCTGAAAGAGTAGGGAAAATTGTGTGTGTCAGTCTTGTTGTCTCATGTAACTTCCACCTGGCGTGGTACCCTGCTGCCCCAGTAGAGGCTCAGCTGGGGATCACAGGCTTTCTGCTGCTGCTGTTGTGTGAGCTCATTGATGGTTCTCTCAGGCGCCGAAGACTGCTTGGATGGTTGGAGACTCCCATCTCCAGGCAACAGGCAAGAATAGAGAAAGGGAAGGTCCAGTATAGTCATGAACAAAGAGTAAAAGGTGAGTGAAACCCTTAACAGGGGCTGAGTTTTTTGGTGTCACCTGAATGTTATTTTTGCACAGAGGATCAAATACGTGGGGAAGCAGTGTTGATTTTGGCAGCTGGTGAAGTGGTCAGCCCCATAGGGTCCCCTTTGAGTTTGAGAGGTTCCTGGCTGCCCTTTGGGAGTTACACTTGGTCTCAGGTGTCCTCCCTCCTCCTGTGACATGTGAGTTTCTTGGGAGTGGAGTGTCAGAAGAGCCAGAGAATCCCAGAATAAAAAGTTGTAGCCTCATTTGACACAGCCATGAAAGCAAGAGAGAATGTTTGTTTTGTAAGTGCTCCAGGTGTGCGTGTTGGAAGCATTCCTTCCATGGTGACCTCTTACTAAGAATCTAATGAGGATCAAGATACTGTAGAAGCTATAGGACTCCCTCACTCATTTTCTCTTTTAAAAGAAAAAAGGCAAAATTTCAGCAGCTTTCACGGGCAACCTTTTCTTATATGCAACAAAATCACTTTATTGCATATGAAAAACACATATAAAGCAATAATACAAAGAAACCAAGTCAGTATAAAGGAGCAAAGGACTTTGACAGACATTTTCAAAAAGAAGATATGTAAAGGTTTCCAATATCTAGATTAAAAGGTGCTCAATATCACTGGTCTGGAGGATACAGATCAAAGCCAGAAGGAGATTCTGCTACACATTCATAAAAATGCCTAAAATCATAAAGACTACAATGACATGTTGGCAAGGATGCCAGGCAACTGCATCTCATATATAGTGCAAGTAAGAGTGTAAAATGGTTCAACTCTTATTTTCAAATTGTTTGACCATTTCTTAGAAATTTCATACTCGTACATCTTCAGATATAGCAATTCCACTCCTTTGGAATTTTTTTTTTTCCATTACCATCTGTCCCCCCCATAACCTCTTCTACACCTTTTCAAAGCCCTACATTGCTGTTTTATGAGGCATCATAGACCAGCTCATTTGGTCAAAGCATGCTACATCATTAGCTGATCCCACACTTCCAATACTCGCCTTTAGGGATCCCTGCCTACTAGGAAATGCTTGCTCATGATTTCTCCCCGCATTATGCAGTCCTCAAGGGTGCCTGCCTGCTGCCCTCTGTACCTGTTCCTGTCTGCCTGTTTGTTGCCCTTACCTGCCCAGTTGTTCAAGTCAGAAACAAGAGTGTCAGCCTTGCCTTTCATCCCATCCTGCACCAGTGTAGCTAACACCAGGTTCTGAATGTCAGCAACTTTTTTTTCTTTCTTTTTTGTCTTATTGAAAAATACATAGTTCTGCATTTTGGGGATATAAGTGCAGGTGGGTGCGAGGGTGTTAAACATGTCTCGGCGGGGGAGGGGGGCCCTGGGCAGGTGGGTCAGGTGTGGAGCACCTTGTTTCTTGCTGGGTCTCAGAGGTTGAAGAGCTGCTATAACATGACATGTATCCTTAAGAGACCCCAGAGGGGTTTTGTTACAGTCTCTGTAAGTGGTGACAGAGCCAGCAGGGAAAGGAGGCATTTGAGAATGATCCCAACCAATGTAACAAAAGGAGAAAAGGGGAAGTAGAACAGGGTATGTGTTTCACACTTTTTTTTTTTTACCACAGCCCACAGTAGAAAATAAACGTACACCCTAAGCCAGGACCCACATCTATATACCTATGTCTATAAATAATGATAGGAACACACATGCACTTACTAAAGCAGGCCCTGTTCTGAGTATCGCTCATGTATTTCCTCATTCGTTCTCACAGCACCATGAGGTGTTGTCATTTCTCTACTTTGCAGATGAGGAAGCCTTGGTCCAGGGAGTTAAGTGACTTTCTTGAGGCCTCACAGCAAACAAGTGGTGGAGCTGAAACTTGAACCCTTGCCCCTGGGTTCTAGAGTGCCTATTTTTTTAAAACCTCCCCGCTATATTCTACTCTCACAGAAAAAAATAAATGTATATCAAAATACGCTAGCCCTCATTACATGCTGTGCTTTTTTAAAAATGAAGTCTTCTTTTAAAGATTTTATTTATTTTTAGAGAGAGGGGAAAGGAGGTAGAAAGAAAGGGAGAGACATCAATGCCAGAGAGAAAAAAATGATTGGTTGCTTCTTTTATGCATCCCCACTGGAGACTGAACCTGCAAACCAGGCATGAGCCCTGACCAAGAGTTGAACTGGTGATCTTTCACTTTGTGGGACAACACCCAACCAACTGAGCCACACCAGTCAGGGCAGATATCATGCTTTCTGATATTTGCTATTTTATTCTATTTCATCCCCTAACTGCTGGTCAGACCTCCTACATAGATTAATTTCCTGACTTGCGCTATTAGTTCCCAAGTTGCTTTTTGGAAATAATGTCATGTTCCATTTCCAAAGTACAACTTATCCCCTGCCTCTATCCCAGCGATCACAACCCCAGTTCAGGCTCCCTATTACTTCTTACCTGGACAACCTCCGAGACCGCCTGTCTTTTTCCTCCACCCATTCTTCATGCTGAGACCAAAGTAATTTGCATAATGCTTTTCTAATCATACTGTTTCCCTGATTTAAAATCCTTAAATGCTACATTGCTCTTTGGGGCCTTGTAATTGGTCCGTGAAGATGATCAGTAAATGTATGCATGAATAAGTAATTCTAAAGATTACTGTGTTTTTTTCCTCAGGATCAAGATCTTCTCCCAAGTAAATATTTTGAAGTTGATTTTCCAATGATAGTCACAAGAAAGCTGCACAGCATCAAGTAAGTGTGGCTTTGGTCAGAAGAAAGAATTCAGAACCAGCTCTCAGTAGGTGGCAGGGTTGATCACCAGGACCTCGTTTTTGTGCACTGCTTTCCTTCGAGCATCTCCAGACTTTCATTCTTGCTCTGGGACCCTCATTCCAATGTGTCTTGCAGCCTTCAAAAGGAAATGCACCCTCTCCTGTGCCTCTACCCAGTGATTGTAGTTTAAATAATTTGATCTTTTTACGTGTTGATTTTGTTTGCTTCTTTATCTCAAGGGCATAGGAAGGCACCAGGTTCAGAGCAGACATATAATAAATATTTTTTGAATGAATGAATGGAGACTGAAGTTAATTGGTGATTATATATGAGATATTGTAGAAGCCATTCCAGGTTTCAAAGGGTTTGCAAAGTTAAAGACAACGAGTTTGGTAACCTTTGCTGAGAGCTTGTCCTTGCCTCGTGCCATAGTAAATGCTTCCCTTGGTGGTTTCATCCAATCCTCAGAGCAGACTCATGAATTAAGTACGATTGTTAGCCCCTTTTTACAGCTGGGAAAACTGAGGTCCAGAGAAGTTTGGTTAATTTGCCTAAGGTCACCAGCTAGGAAGAGTGGAGCTGAGATTTAAATCTTGGCTTCAAGCTCAAGGTCAAGGTTTATCAACAGCGTTAACCACACTTCCTCCCTCCTGTTTAAATCAGTCATTGAAATAAAATCCTAATTCTTATATTTACAAAAATTTAATAAGCATAAAAGTTTAAACTTGTCCTTTAGAAATGTCTAATCCTCACAAACCGAAAACATTTTTCAAGCTTTGTTTTTTCTACTTTATCCTTTGAAAATAAGATTTTTACCCTTTCTAAACAGAAAAAGAATTTTATATTAAATGTGCTTTTCTGATGATATATGGCAGTTCCGATGCTCTGGTAACTACGAAGTACAACAAAGCCTATTAGACCTCAGTGAAACAGAGGAAAGGAGGCTCTGACTCAGGCTAGTGATGGTTACCAGAGCAGGAAATGCATTGGCATCTGTGCATGGTGGCTGGGTTACTGAAAATTTGCTTTGATTTTTTCCCATAGTCTTGATTGGAGGAGTTATTACATAAATGTTACGGATGTTAGGTCTAAGTCAACTTTTTAAGTTAGAAATAATAGCTATCTTTAAAATTTTGTTTGAGAAGAGGCAAAAAAAGTAGAGCTTGCTTGGCAAATACTAAAACATTTCGGAAATTCTTGCTAGCCTGTCTTTAGCTATTTCTAAGTCTGAGTGTTTCATGGTCAGTTTGTGACTGACAATCAAATTCTAAGTATAATGCTTAGCTGACCTAACCTGAGGCACGAGTCCAGTGAAGTTTTACTTTATGTGCCTCTGGTTAAATGGAATTAATTGAACAAAAGACCCCACCGTAGCAGTACCTACGTGCCATTTTTATAGTGAGTGTCTTCATTTTGGCAGTAAATACGCTACCGGACTGATCTTTCTTTGCTTTCCCTCCTTACCATAGAGTCAAGCCTCTTCTATCAAAACCTATTTTAGAATTACATTCAGAAGACACACTTCAAATTGGCAAGTATCCTTAATTTAAGTAATACATTATGAACTATACTTGATTTCCCTTTCCTTTTTTAAAGCTGGTGTATGTGTGTGCATGTACATGCGCCTGCAATTATTATGTCACACAGTGTCTACTTCTGATGCCTTTATACTTCACACTTACCATGAAGGATTTAAAAAAAAAAATTTTAAAGATTTTTATCTATTTATTTTTTAGAGAGAGGGGGAGGGAGGGAGAAAGACAGGAAAAGAAACATCAGTGTGAGGTTGCCTCTCATATGCCCCTTACTGGGGACCTGGCCTGCAACCCAGGCGTGTGCCCTGACTGGGAGTCAGACTGGCGACCCTTTGGTTTGCAGGCCGGTGCTCAGTCCACTGAGCCACACCAGCCAGGGCACAATGAAGGATTTTAAAACAGCTCTTTGTGTGACTGTTCCTACATGTCCATACGTCCTCAATCTTAACTCTTTTTTAAAAAAAAAAATTTAAATTAGTTGCCAATATTTGATAGGAGATTTTTAAGGAAAATCTGACTTTCCTGTTTTCCTTAGATTAGCTCTGACAACTTTGGACCCTCACTCCTACATGGAAGTCAGTGAGAGGGGCCGAACATCTTCTGTCCCCACTACTCCATCAGCCGCTTATGTTAGTTCCTTGGCCACTGCCCTCTTGTTTTCTCCTCTAGTTTTAATGATAAAAGTTTCCAGGAACACTTCCATTTCCAAGTTTTTCAAAGTAAGATAAATTTCTTCCAGAATCTTGCATCATTTTCAGTTTGTGTCTGACAGAGAAGTGGAAGGGGCTTAATAATAATTCAGGTCAGGAAACATGCTTGGAGAAGGCGGTCTTCTTGGATGGCTGGCCCAGATTACCAAGTAAACATCACACAACTCATAAGCCCCCTTTTATGCACAACCACAATGCATTAGTCATTCTTTCCTTATAGTGATCAGGTACCCAGTTATTCTTCCACAGAAAATGTCTCCCCCATTCTTTGTTTCCCTCACATCAGTTGCAAGTGGAATCTATTCGGGCTTTGTCATTTGTTGGCAATTTGTTTGCTTTTCCACACTTCTGCTATCATGACTTTCTATATAGTTGATTAATATTTGTGTCAAAGCAATTAGGTATAGCAAAAGATCTAGCACTTTACATTGCTTTTGATCAATGTAGAAACATGAAGTAGAAAATAAAGACCCTACACAAGCCAGGCCCACTCCAAGAAAACAAATGTTCATTGTTTTCTACTACAGATGAATGTTATACTCAGGGATGCTCTGACAAATGTATAGTTTTGATTCATTCACACCAGTCAGCTATTGTTGCATTGGCCATTGTCATTTTTTAATTTGACAGTTTAAGGGAAAAGAGGCCAGTGCCCCTGACTAAATAGTCAGGTATTGCATATTCAAAAAATTCTTGAGGCACACCAGAGCGCTGTAGCACACCGGTTGAAAATCACTGCTTTCTATCTTTAATTCCAATTGCTTCATAGTACTTCTTTGCAGGGAAATTCCATTTTATTTAATCTATTTCCTACTGACGATCATTTATTGCTTCCTTTTTAATGTTTTTATATTAAACAGTATTATAGAAAACATATGTATGTAGGCATATTTGCAGGAATTGCCAGCTCAAAGAATTACATACTATGTATTTTACTAACTATAGCCACTGTTCTTTAAGACCCTGTTTACTAATTTCTGTTTCTACTAGAGGGAGGAAGGATTCTCAATCCCTACACCTTCACTAACAGTGGGTATTCATATTTAAAAATCCCTCCCGGTCTGGCTAACTCTGCCGCTGCATGCTCACCTCTGAGCCGCTGCACCGCACCTCCCCAACCCCCTACCCCCGCCCTTCCCACCAGACCAAGGGCATTCTCACTCCTGAGTTCAGGCTGCCAGGAAAGGTGTGCGGGTAGGGCACACCAGGGAACCAGGGCCTCCCTCCTGTGGAGGCCGCAGAGTAGGCATGCGGGCCTGCACAGCCTGGCATAGGTGCTGGGCAGCCAGGGTGCTCCTGGTGCTGCTGCATCCCTAGTGCCTGATCTAGCCCTGCCCAGCCCTAGAAGCTACCCATGGCCTGCGTAGCTTCTCCAAGAATACCCACCTGGTGCTTTACCGTTCCTCAAGACTACCTTACACTCCTTCTGCTTGTGGTCTCCGGGGTGCTAAGTTGACTACACAGATTGCTTTCTCCATGCTTCTGAAGCCAGAGACATGACCTGACATTTTTGATGACCAGTGTCGGGGCCCTTGGGTGATCCTTGGCTGGTACACCCTGAAACTTAAAGTATGGGTAGGGGAAGTTCAGAGGATTGTTTGTGAGCTCACCCAAGCCACAGCTTGTCAGGAGGTTTTAGTAGCCTTAGTGGAAGTGATAGGTCAGACTGGAAAGTACAGTGTGATAGAAAATGAGAGGCACTGAGACATTTGGAGCCTCATGAGAACCCTATCATATCCTTAAACAAATGGGGCTAGTATGCTAGTGATGTACAACTTATTTTACATGGAACAGGACTGGGTTATCTCTCAGTGGGCAACCCATAGCAGATAGTGTGGCTCAAATTTCTCAAAGAAATTTATACAGCCGGAGTTTGCCCTCCCTCAGCTAAAGTGAGGCCTCAAATTGACAAGTCAATCCAAAGAAGAGAACCTAATAGGAAATCATATACGTTTTACAGAAGGATTAATGGAAATTTTTGGAAAAGCGAAAGAAACTGAATTTAAGCAAAAGATGCCAAATAACTGCAAAACAAGAGCAGATGAGTTAAAGAGGCTGACCTATTTGCAGACAGAAAAGCTTCTATCCATTGAGAAAGAGCTAGAACCAAATGTAATGGAAATACGACTTTTGGGGGCAAAAATATAATTCTGCCTTTGAAGAGGAGATTGTCCTCCTGGAACAAAAGATAAAAGAAATGATGTAGAAATTGAAGAGGAAGAATTTTAGGAAAATGCATTACAGATTGGACAGGAAAATGAAAAACAGCTGAAGGATCAATTTCAAGAAATAATACAGAAAAGGACAGAATGCAAGAGAAAATGAAAGGACTATTGTCTGAGATCCAGACTTTGGAAAGGGGTCTTGAAGCCAAAATATTGCAGTGGGAAATCCAGGAGGCACAGCTCAGTGAAGAAGAGATTAAAGGAAAGATCAGGAAGGTAAAGGGAAACTGACATTCAAGGCCAGCTGAGTCGGAGGCTGGAAAATGGTACCAAAGCTGTGGAAAGATCTCTTGGACAAGACACCAAACAATTACAGAACAAAGAACCTGGAGCAGTAGACTGAAGAGCTGGGTAAGTCAGTCTCCAGCAGTTTATCCATCAGAGAGGGACAAAAGTTCCTGTTTTTCCAGTGGAGCCCACTGAAATAGAGGCCTCACACGCAGACATAGGAAGGGAGGCATCATTCCAGTTTGGATGCCTGAAGCAGCCAGGTTCATCTTGACAGCTCCCCAGTAATCTCTGTATGCTACAGAATCCTATCTCATCTGGTTTTAATCCTGAAGGCATATATGTATAACATTGTATGTCTTTAGGGGAGAGACCCAATAAAGTTATGACATACAGTAAGAATTTAAATAAATAAATAATAAATACAATTTCTCCCAATCTGATAGACTGAAATGATGCCCTGCTATTTTGAAATGTTATGTAACTTTGAATGCTGAGATGGTGTATTTTTCCAGAATAGTAAAACTCCTTTGAAACTCGCTCTGAGGCTGTGTCCTATAGTAAACACCTGCTTCCTGCACAGTGAGAGGAAGGCATCCTTGGAGGTCAGGTAATGGACCTGTCTCTGCACAGCTTGAGTAGCCCTGACTTCGGAGTGGCAAGAGAATCATGATGGAGTGTGTAGTGTTGGCATCATCAGAGTCTATCATTAATGAGACTCGGGCCATCTCTTCCAGTGCTTCCTGGGTGATACGCCAGCATCCTGTGGATATGGCTGGGCTGTGGCCAGCTGTTCTTCAAGTCACTGACCTCTTCAGGTCCCCTGTACCTTGTGCTCAATTTTTAAGAGTAATCATGACAATGTGCATTTCTACTTTATGTGTTACCTGTAGCTCCAGATCTCTGGTAAGACATGTCTTCCCTGAACTTCATGCTTCAAAATTATGTTGGTTTTGTTTTGTTTTGTTAGGGATAGGAAAACTTACTTTAAATATGCTTATTATTGTCCTGGCTGGTGTGACTCAGTGGATTGGGTGCTGGCCTGAGAACCAAAAGGTCGCCAGTTCAATTCCCAGTCAGGGCATCTGCCTGGGATGTGGGCCAGGTCTCCAGTTGGGGGTGTGTGAGAGGCAACCGATCAATGTAGCTCTTGGACATTGATGTTTCTCTACCTCTCCTTCTCCCTTCCTTCCCTTCTCTCTAAAAATAAATAAAATCTTAAAAGAATATGCTTATTATTAATATGTATGTTATTTGCACGAAGGCACATAGGCATTTGGGAATCATTTGACTTCATAGTGCATCAGATAAGTGCCTTCCTGTTCTTTATACTCTTTTCCTGACTCAGGCATTGTGGTGCTGGGGGCTGACTTGGGTTTTCCTACTTACTCTTTGGTGCTTTCCTGGGACATTTTTCTTTTAACTTATGGTGTGTGACTAAGTGTAGTGAAATCAGTCAGTTGGGGTCATCAAGATCATAAGAGAGAACCTGCTTCTGTGCTGAGCTTTTGCCTTTTCCTCATTGTTTGCTGTGGATCCTCAAAGCCAGGAGAACCTGATCTACCAGCCATGATACAGGATGGCTGTTGGATATTCCAACTCCTTCCCTGATTTGTACCCTTGAGGAAGTTGAGTGATGCTTTGCATAAACAATCAGTCAGTTTTCTTTTTATCATAAATCTATTTTTTAACTTCTACTGAAAAAATAGTTCAGGTGTACACTAAAATGCTATGACTAGATTGTTGAACTTCCATGAACCCATCACCTGACTTTCACTATTGGCAGTCTCATGTTATCTGTACCAGTGGTTCTGAGAGTGAAGTCCCAGATGAGCAGCACCAGCGCTGTCTGGCAACTTGTTAGAAATGCAAGCCTCTACATTTTGAAAGATCTGCATCAGAAACTGTAGGGGTGGAGCCCATCAATGAGTGTGATTCTGATGCAGCCACAGCTTGAGAAACACTGGAGATACTGTGCCATCCACCCTCTGTTAGAATACTTTAAAGCAAATGTCATTTTATTTGCAAATAGTTTAGATCATAAATTATTTCCTTTTAAACATAGTATCTTACAAATTGGCACACCATTTAGAGAGCAGCCTGCCAGTCAGTACCAATGTGAAATAGGCTCACTCTTTGACATCCTCATTCCCCTTGTAGCAACCTACTATTTAAAAAAATAAAAAAGATTTTATTTATTTTATTTTTTAGAGAGGGGAAGGGAAGGAGGAAGAGAGGGAGAGAAACATCAAGTGTGGATGCTTCTTGAGAGCTCCCTACTGGGGACCTGGCCCACAACCCAGGCATGTGCCCTGACTGGGAATTGACCTGGTGACCCTTTGGTTCACAGGCCAGCACTCAGTTCACTAGGCCACACCAGCCAGGGCACAACCTACTTTTTTAAACTGATAAGAACAGATACTACATTTGATCTTAGCCAAAAGGCCAAGAAGCGATAACTTTTTTAATTGAAATATATTTGGCATACAACACTGTGTAAGCTCCAGGTGTACCTATTAATTTGATACATTTATGTTGTAGTATGGCTGCCATTGTAGTGATAACTAGTACCCCTGTCATGTCACATTATTATCTGTTCCTTTTAGTGGTCAGAATAATTAAGATCTAGCCTCTTAGCAAGTTTGATGATTATAGTAGAATATTGTTGTCAGTGTTGACGTACTCTACATTAGATCTTTAGGACTTATTTGCTACTCATTGCAGGTTTGTACCCTTAAAAAAACATCTGTCGTACACACTGCAGGAGCATGCCTAGGTGTATATATTAACAGGTTACTCTGTACTTACTTTAAAGAAATAATTAGATGGGTGCTTCATGATGCATATACAGGATGCTCATCCCAGTGCCCAAGACAGAGACAACTTGGAAATACCATGTCTAGTAGTGAGAGATTGGCTCAGTCAGTTGTTTTATCCACTCAGCAGGACGCCATGAAATCACTGTTAAGTAGGGAAAGCATTTTTCAAAACAAGTATTAAGCAGCCCCATTTTCTTTTTCTATGCGGAGCGTGTGTGTGTGTGTGTGTGTGTGTGTGTGTGTGTGTGTGTAGGGAGGGAGAGAGAGAGAGGCAGACAGTGTTTGTGTTGTGTATATGAGTTTAAGCACTTTGGGAAAAAAGCTGGAATGTTATATACCAGAACGCTAATAGCTTTTTTTGGGAAATGTGATTTTAGTTAATTTCACTCCTCTTATCTGAATTTTTAAAATAATAAGCATGAATTCTTATAATGGAGAAAAACAATAAATTTAATTTTGAAGAAGCCATATCCATTGGAATTATAATCTCTTGATTAATTTCTGTTGAAATTATACCCTTTTATATTTGCAGATGGACACATGTTGGATTCAAAGAGATATGCTATTATTGGAGCAGATCTTCGAGATTTATCTGAACTGGAAGAGAAACTAAAGAAATGTAACATGAATACACAGTGAGATTTTTTTTGACTTCTTAAACATTTGTGGTTTCATGCTAACGTGAGACAAGGCGGTTGGAAATGCAGCATGATACCCATGTCCCATTTTTCCCTTCATTGCTACCTCGAGTAATTTTCTGAATTTTTTACAAGCAGCATTTCTCAGGTCTGTTTCATATCAGAATCACCTGTATTACTTTTGTAAAATACAGTACTGATGTATAATACAAACAAAGCTTGAGAAAAGATAATTGTATGCACAGAACCATATAGTTGCAACATACAAAGAAAGTATTGGCATCCAAAATATATAAAGAACAGCTACTGAAAAAAAAGAAAAAAGTCCCATAGGCAAATGGGGGAAAAAGGTCTAGGTTAGGCAGCTCAAAGAAGAAACTGAATATCATAGGAAAGGGGTAAGAAACCACAGTAATAATCAGATGAAATTTCATTTTACTCCCATCAAGTTGACAAAATATGAAAGTCTGGCAATATTAACCGTTGACAAGATGACATGGTAAAAGGAATTGTTACACACCACTGGTGGAAGTGAACTCAGTACAACCATGGTGAGGAACAGTCTGGAAATATCTAGTAAGATTGAAGATGTGGGTAACATATACAGTAGCTTCACCTTCAGGTGTGTCTCCTGCGTGTGTACACAAGGTGGATGTTCTTTGCAACCACTGTTTTTAGTAGCAGAAAATTGGACACAATCTGAATGTCCATCAGGAGAGGAATGGAGGAATAACCTTTACAATGCATGACCTAGGTCAACAGGGAGAGAACTCAAAAAGTTGAATAAAAAAAAAAAAAAATCAAGTTGCAGAGTAATATGTTTAGTGCCTTATCAAATATATAAAATCACATCCCCAATATACTGTATTTTCATGACCACATATATACCTCACAGAAGTATTTTTAAAATGGAGCAGAAGGGTTCACATGAAATTTTGGGGAGGGGGGGCCTTTGGGTCACAGGGTAGGGAGTGAGATGTGTGATTTTAGCACACAGTCATGCTGGTCATAATTAGATCGGAGTTAGAGAGTTAGAGATAAAAACATGTTTACGTGATCTATTGTAGATGAAGATGACACTTTCAAGAATATTTGAAGTAATTCACGGGAGAAACTTGAGGGGAAGATAAGGCCAAGGGAATACTATTTTGAAGAACATGAAGGCAGAAATCAATGGCAAATTGTTAAAAAAATTTAGCAACTAGGGGGATTATAGCTAGAGAGGGAAGGGGGCTGTAGAACATGGACTGAGGCTAAGTGTCCTTCGGGGAAAGGAGAGATCCCCATTCTCCTGAGAGGAGAGAAAGGGACATAAGAACAGGTACAAATACAGGTGAGCTTTGGGTGACAGAGGGGTGGGAAGTGTAGGGAGTTAAAGCTTGTTCTGACACATCTTGCATTTATGTGATGATGGCTGTTGTGTCTTCATTTTGGAGTTCTTGTTTATGTGTTTAGCCTAGAATCATCAACCAGGTTGTCATTAGAATTTACATACCTGCCTGCCTTTTTTTCTTTCCTTTGGGGAATCCTTTGCATGATTCACAGATTGCAAGATGTATTCTTTAGCAGAAGGTGAGTCTTTATGTTTAAGGCCATGACTGCTATTCTTGGGCAAATTAGTGACTGGTGATTAGTAGTAGATGGTTAAAGCTGATACTGGTAAGCCTGGAGCCCCCCTCTGCACCTTGGAATCTGGGTTCCAATCTGACATCTCCTGCTGGTTATTGAATAGGAGTGGGGTTTCTTGTTTGTTTGTTTAAAAACCTCTTTGAGTCAGTGTTCCCTTTCAAAAATTAACGCTTTTAGATATTTCCAAAGGAGTGTGTTGCTTTTCCTAATGTGTTCAGTAGTTTGAGTCTGGTAAGTGAGGATGGATACTAAACATAAAGTAATTTCTTGAAGACTGTTCATATTTTCAATTCTTTGTGGTATAGGCTTCAATAAGAAGAACTAGATTCTGTTAAGTGAACATCAGTATTTCTGCATTGTACCAGTCAGCTCTTAATGTGTAACAAATCTTTCCAAACTCAGAGGTTTCAGACAGCTCATAATTTAGTTGCTTGGGATTCTGAAGTGACAATTTGGGCTGGGCGTAGCTGGGTGGTTCTTCTGCTAGGAGGCAAAGCTTAGTTAATATCACCTGGGGTTCATTTTGTGTGTGTGTGTGTGCGCGCGCACGCAGATCAGCTGGGGGCCGACTCACTGTCACCTAAACTGCCTTGTTCATGCAGGGGGCCTCCCCTTCTATGAAGCTAGCTTGGGATGACTTGCACAGTGTCTTTAGGTTGCCAGTACAGCATGGGGGCAAGCACCCCTGTGCAAGTGATTGGCAAGCAGGCTTCTTGTTTGCTCCTGTTCATTGGCCAGAGCAGGTCATATGACTGACCCAGATTCCAGGGGAAGGAAATGATATCCCTCTCTTGAGTCGCAGGACTCAAGGCATTGCCACAATGTGGATGCAGCGTGGGGGAAAATCTGTAGCCATTTAACACATTTTCACAAGCCAGACAGCCATTTCTCACTACTCACCTTTGTGCAGTATAAATCTTTGGGATGTGATAGTGTCACACATATATTACTGTGCTGATTGACCATGGGCTGTGAACTGTCCTGCCAGTACTGTGACATGTGTACAGCCAGAGTTCCAACCTGATGAAAACACTTATGTGCCTCCTTTTTGTCTCTCCAGATTGCCGACACTCCTGATAACAGAATGTGTGCTGGTCTACATGACTCCGGAGCAGTCTGCAAACCTAATCAAGTGGGCAGCCAACACTTTTGGGACCGCCATGTTCATAAACTACGAACAGGTAAAAGGAAACACAGGAAACTCGTGTTCTGCAGAGAAGCCCAGGGGTGGCTCTCCCTCTGAGCACCCTGCACATGCTGCTACTCTTTGTTTTCCTTCGGCCCCTGGCCAGACGTGTCTCATTTGTTAGTTGATGCTAGTAGTCCTGCTGCTCCTGACTTCCTGACTTCCTGCAAACTTTTAGCCAGAATTTTTGGAACTGCAATTTTGGCCATTATAAAAGGTTTTTGAATTCTTATTTCATTGTTGTGTTGGGTTGGCCAAAAAGTCTGTTTAGTTTTTTCTATAAAATAAAAGGCACATTTTTAAATTTTCACCAATGACTTTATTGATTTGGATATTTTGAGTACATTAGCTATCTCTCATTATTGGCTTCTAGTATGTAGAGGCGCCACTAAACATCTTCCCATGAATGAGAAAGCCCCACAGCAAAGAATTATTTGGCCAGAATGTGAATAGAACCAAGAAACTTTGCAAACCACTTTCGACATGTTCTATCAGTCACGGCACCTTCTCCATACACTGCAGAAATCTTTGTTTGCATTTCAGTGCATTTTTACCTTTCTTGAAATGATAAAGCAAAATATGTTGAAAATGTTGCGTGTTTTCATTCATCTTCAATATTAAAATGGCTGCACAAAAATTCACCAATTTTGATAAATTTTTTTTAAATACACGCAGGTATAACAGCTGTCACAATACAGTCCAACAAAATTATTTTGAATGAAGTTAAAGACAACTAAAAGCTACTAGAGCCATCATTTGGAAAAAAAACGTAAGGGTCTTTTTGGCCAACCCGATGTTTACTGTCAAGCCCTTGATGGAGGGAGTTGCATCTGCCTTCCCTGTGGGGGTAGCAAACTTAATGCCCTCAGAGATTGGCACATGATGCACATGGAGGAAGTTGGCAAGTGAGTATTGTGGAGTGGTGAGGACTAGGGTACCCTGGCTACCCATCTCATGGGAGTGGCCACTCTTCAGTCCTAGCCTGTTGTCACCTGTGAGCCTATAGTTGCCCGAACTCTCAGTTTTTCAGAAGTTAAAAATGATTTTAATGTAACATTTCCTAATTTCTAAAATCACTGAGTTTGGTCCACTGGCTGCCGGTTTACCTCTTCTGATCTAGTGCAGAATGGATTGTTTTAGAGCTTTGGAATTATCCAGCTTGGTTCTAAATCCTGGCCCTACCTCTTTGTTTTGTTTTATTTCATTTCATTTCACTTTATTTTAGAGAGAGGGGAAGGAAGGGAGAAAGAGAGGGCGAGAAACATCAATGTGAGAGAGACGTCTGTTGGTTGCCTTATCCACGCACCCCAGGGGATCGAATCTGCAACCTAGCCATATGCCCTGACCGAGAATCAAACTGGCATCCTTTTGGTTCACAGACGATGCCCAACCAGCTGAGCCATAACACCTGGCCCTAATTCTTATTATTGGCCGTGTGATTGGTGTTTGGGAGTCCGTCCATGCTCTGGAGGCGGACTACCTAGCTCTGTGACTTGGACAAGTTGCATACCTTTCTGTGCCTATTTCCTCATCTGAAAAATGAGGATAAAGAAGTGCCAACTTCATAAGGTTGTTACAGCATTTACCTGGCTATTAAGTGTTGGTTATTATTTTGATCTCTTTGAGCCCCCATTCTTTGTTCATAAAGCAACAAGGAGTGCCTACCTCTCTGGTTTATTATGGGAATTCATGAAATGTTGCAGTGGTGGGCACATGGTAGCTATTTTTATTGTTTATTTTATTTTATTTTTATTGATTTTATTTTATGTCTTATGTTAATTTTATTTTTAAATTTTATTGCAGGTAAGAGTAGTACAGGGCCTTCCCCAAGGTTATGTAATTATGGACAGATTGGGGCTAAACCTTGGTCTCCTGACCGGGTCTCCACCCAACCCATTCCAAGTTCCTGTGTAGGTGGTGTCTGGTTGGTTGATTTCTTCCTTCCCTCTTTTTAACTCGGGACTGTCCTTAGACTCTGTCTTCAGTCCTAGTGAGTGGATGTAATGGCAGCTGGCCTCCTTGCTCTTTTCTTTGTGTATGTGAAACAATTCTGGGAACCAGTCTTTGTTTTCAGGGTACCACACCTGGGGGAAATCAACTCTGCTTTCCATGTGTCTCCTCCTGTCTTGAATGTGTACTGCTTCGTTAACTTTGTTTCATTTGTATATTCCTTTATTCAACAAGCATTTATCCAAAATCAAATGGAGATGGTGGATCAGTGAATTTTGACCAGAGATCCTATCACTTTGGAGCAGGCCTAGGAATGGGCCATTGTCCAATAAGTTGTCCATGGCTGTCCCCAAACTGGTTCAGATCCCACCTACCACTTAATTCAATAATTTTCTAACAAATACAAAATCATTAGTATCTTAACATTTATTAATTGCTCACATGCCTTACATTAGTTTGTAATTAGTTTTAAATGACAAAACCTCATGGATGACGATAACTACAATAATGATAATAACAGCAAATTCTTATAATTTATTTACTATGTATAGCTGTTATGTATGCTGTGAGTTTCACATATATTAACTCAATCATCACAACAACCCGCAGGGTAGATACTTGTTCTTGTGGTTTTACAGGTGAGGGGACTGAAGCACAGAGGGGTAGGCAGCTTACCCAGTCTCACAGCAATTAAATGTCAAGCCAGGATTCATGCTTAGGCAATAAAATGATGGGGTGTGTGCTCCCAAACATACTTCCACTTAATGATGTGACCTGTCCATTAGTACCACATATGCCTTACTCACCCACCAAAAACGAAAACACTGGTTCTTGTTGTCATGTGAGCTCTGGTATTCGTTTTACATATTGTTAGTGATGAATTTTTGGTTCTTTGCGTATGACAAAGTAACAGTGTATATATGCTATAATAGTGTACGTAAGATTTCATTTTGTGGCATTTGGGCACATGTAGAATTTAATTATGGTTTATGGTTTTCTATACACTTTTTTTTATTCAAAAGCAAAATAAAAATATATCAAACAGTACAAAAGGATAGACAAGGAAATGTAAGTCTCCTACCCCAGACCTCAGCCCTCTCACTTGGGAAGCAACTTTGCCAGATTCAGCAGTTCTTCTGTGGTTGTGTAAATGCAGAGATTTTTTTTTTTCTTAAAGGAAGATGGCATAACATACCACATATTCCTCTATACCTTAATTTTCAAGAGTTCTTAGATGTTAGAGATCTTTCCATATTGCTCTCTATATTTATATCTGAACAAAGGGGGACCCCCAAAACAGAATTTGTTTATTAAAAATCGTGTATTCTTAGATGTTTAAACTTCAGTCACCTTCAAAGTACTCTCCATTAGATGTAATACACCTATCAAGATGTTTTTTCCCACTGCCCAAAACAGTTTTTGAACTCATCAATTTCAGTGCCTATTAATATGCTTCTGCCATTTTAAAAAGATTTTATTTATTTAGTTTGAGAGAGAGGGAGAGGGAGTGAGAAAGAGAGGGAGAGAAACATTGATTGGTTGCGTCTTACACGCCCCCAACTGGGGAACTGGCTGCACCCAAGCATGTACCCTGCCTCGGAATCCAACTGGCGACCTTTCAGTTTGCAGGCCGGCACCCCTGCCGTTGAGCCACGCCAGCCAGGGCGCTTCTGCTGTTTTTTTGTTTCACCTCTTCCACATTGCCAAAACATATCCAGTTGGGGACATTTTTCATCCAGGGAAGAAAAAAGGTTGGATCAGGGTGAGATCGGGTGAATAGGGAAGGTGGGTCACCGGGGTCATGCCATTTTTGGTCAAAAACTGCTGAAGGTGTGGGCGGGTACATTATCATGAAATGGGAAATACGTTGAAAGACTTCAAAAATAATTCACTGAAGCTGAACACAGCTTCTCACAACATTGTCAGCTGGTACACTGATACAGGTGGGTTCCTAGAACACTCACCTTGTGTGTGTTCCACAAGAGGCTTGCCCTCCAGAAAATAATTCCGGTTTGTTTTCAGTGCCCCTTCATATCTATGTTTCTCCTGTTTCCCCTGCTATATGGCATTTCATTATATATATATGAAACACGCCAGAATTTATTTAACCCCAAATGATGTGTATTTAAGTTCTCTTCAGATTATTCTGTTATGTAGAATGCTGCAGTAGACTTTCTTGCATCTTTGCATACACGTGCAGGTGCAGCTGCAGGAGAGATTACCTGCAGTGGGTTGATTGTGGGGCCACAGGCTGTGCTTACAGTAGCTGTACAGGTGCCTTCCAGGGGCTGACCCAGTGAGCGCTCCTTTCAGCACTACACACGGATTCCATTACCTGCACTGAGTATTAACAAGCCTTAGTACTGACTGATTAAAATAGGATGTCATTCTTCAGAGGCATATCCAGAAAGAAAAAAATAAAAAGAGCTGTCTCCTACCATAAAAGTTCACACCACAAAATCAGGAAGTCAAGAGAAATCCATTTAAGAAGCAGAAGCTAAAAGAAGACTCTCACAAATAATGGGAAGACAAAGAAACACCCCACAGGCAAAGGGAAAGGAGGAATCCCCAGAAAGAGAACTAAATGAAATAAAGGCAAGTAAACTATCAGGTATTGAGTACAAAACAATGATTCTAAGAAAGCTCAGTGAGCTCACTGAGTTCAAAGAGAATTACCAAAAACTACAGGGAAACTGAGGAACTTATTGCAAACTATATCAGCATGAAAAAGGACATAAAAACTATCAACAAGAGGCAAGAGGAAATGAAGAATACAATCTCTGAATTGAAGAACACAGTAGAAGGGACCAAAGCAGGTTACGTGAAGCAGAGGATTGAATCAGTGAGCTGGAGGACAAGGTAGAAAAAAGCTCCAAGAAAGAGCACGAAAATGAAAAAAATACTGAAAAATAATGAAGAGGCACTGAGGGAAATGCAGGACAACCTGAAACGTAATAATATCCGTATAATAGGGATACCAGAAGGAGAAGAGGATGAGGAAGGGATAGAGAACCTGTTTGAAAAAGTAATGATGGAAAACTTCCCTAATTGGAGGAGAGAAAAGTCCAGGAAGCATAGAGGGTCCGGTTCAAGAGGAACCCAATGAGGGCCACTCCAAGACACATCATTAAAATGGAAAATATCAAAGACAGAGAGAATCCTAAAGGCAGCAAGGGAGAAACAGGTAGTAACATAGAAGGGAGCCCCAATATGGCTAGCAGCTGACTTCTCAACTGAAACACTACAAGCCAGAAGGGAATGGCAAGAAATATTCCAAGTTATGAAAAGCACAGGCCTGCAACCAAGACTGCTCTACCCAGCAAGGCTGTCAATTAAAATGTAAGGTGAAATAAGGACCTTCCCTGACAAAAGAAGGCTAAAAGAATTGACCTCCACCAAACCAGCACTACAAGGTATGCTAAAAGGACTGCTTTAAGAAGATGAAGAAAAAGAATGAGAAAGAGAAGAACATAGGTTAAAGGGGGAAAAAATGAGTAAGTACCTATCAGTAATAACTTTAAATGTAAATGGACTAAATGCCCCAATCAAAAGACACAGGACAGCTGAATGGATTAGAACACATGACCCACACATATGCTGCCTGCAAGACACTGACCTCAGAACACAGGACCTATACAGACTGAAAATAAAGGAATTGAAAAAATATTCATTTGCAGCAAAAATTCAAAAATTTTCAAAAATTTATTTCAAAAAATTCAAAAATTTTCAGCAAATGGACAGGGAAAAAAAGCCGGGGTAGAAAGCTTTATATCAGACAAAATAGATTTCAAAACAAAGGCCATAAAAAGAGACCCAGAAGGACACTTCATAATACTCAAAGGAAGAATCTATCAAGAAGACATAAACATTGTAAACTTACATGCACCCAACATAGGAGCACCCAAATATATAAGGAAAATCTGGAGGACTTCAAGAAAGATATAGATAGCAATACACTGATAGTAGGGGATTTTAATGCCCCACTGTCAAAATTGGATAGATCTTCCAAACAAAACATCAACAGGATATTGTGGAACTGAACAATGCATTAGATCAAATGGACTCAACTGACATATATAGAACCTTTCATCCCAAAGAAGCAAAATACACATTTATTTCAAATGCACATGGAACATTTTCAAGGATAGACCACATGGTAGGACACAAAACAAGCTCAACAAATTCAGGAAAATTGAAATCATAACAAGCATTTTCTTGGACCACATGGGCTTGAAACTAGAAACCAACCTCAAGGGAAAAACCCAAAACTACTCAAAGTCATGGAGATCAAATAGCATGCTATTAAACAATGAATGGGTCAATAATGAGATCAAAGAAGACATCTAAAAGTTTCTGGAAACAAATGAAAATGAACACACAACGGTCAAAAACCTATGGGACACAGCAAAGACAGTCATGGGGGTGAAGTGAATAGCAATACAGGCCTACCTCAAAAAGATAGAAACATTTCAAATAAACGACCTAACCCTAAAGCTTCAAGAACTGGAGAAACAACAACAACAAACAAAGCCCAGAGCAAGTAGAAGGAAGGAAATAATCAAGATCAGAGCAGAATTGAATGACACAGAGACTAAAAGAACAATTCAAAGGATAAACCAATCCAGGAGCTGGTTCTTTGAAAAGATAAGCAAAATTAACAAGCCTTTAAGCAGACTCATCAAGAAAATGAGAGAGGACCCAAATAAATAATATCAGAAATGAAAGATGAGAAATAACAGTTGATACCACAGAAATACGTAGGATTATAAGAAATTTCTATGAACAGTGATATGCCAAGAAATTTGAAAACCTGGATGAAATGCACACATTTCTAGAAATATATAACCTTCTACACTGAAGAAGCAGAAAGCTTGAACAGACCGTTAACAGCTTATGAAATTGAAGGAGTAATAAAAATAACTCCCAGCACACAAAAGCCCTGGACCAGACAGTTTCACAGGAGAATTTTACAAAACATTTAAGAAAGAGGTAACCCCTCTCCTTCTCAGACTATTCCAAAAAACCCAAGAAGAGGGAAGACCCCCAAACTCTTTTTTATGAGGCCAGCATCATCTTATTCCCAAAACCATATAAAGACACACCCAGGAAGGAAAACTACAGGCCAATATCGCTGATGAACATAGACCCTAAAATCCTCAACAAAATATTGGCAAACCACATCCAGCAATACATTAAAAAAATCATCTATTATGATTAAGTGAGATTCATCCCAGGGATGCCAGGATGGTTCAATATTTGCAAATCAATAAATATCACAAGATAATGCATCACATAAAAGGAAACAAAAACCACACGATCATATCAATAGATGCGGCAAAAGCATGTGGTAAGACCCATTTATGATAAAAACATTTAGCAAAGTGGGAATAAAGGGGGGCATACCTCAACATAATAAAGGCAATATACAAAAAACCTCCAGCGAGCCTCATACTCAATGGGCAAAAACTAAAAGCTTTTCCACTAAGATCAGGAACAAGACAAGGATGCCCACTTTCACCACTTTTGTTCAACATAGTATGGGAAGTCCTAACCACAGTGATCAGACAAGAAAAAAAAAAAAAGAAAGAATTAAAAGGCATCCAAATTGGACAGGAGGAAGTAAAACTGTCATTGATTGCAGATGACATGATAGTGTACACAGAAAACCCCATAGACTCCACCAAAAAACTACTCAACCTAATAAGTGAATTTGGCAAAACAGCAGGATACAAAGTCAACATTCAGAAATTGAAGACATTTTTTACACCAACAATGAAATATCAGAATCAGAAATCAGGAAAAAAGTCCCATTTGCTATAGCAACAAGAAAAATAAAGTACCTAGGAATAAACTTAACCAAGGAGATAAAAGACCTGTACACAGAAAACTACACAACACTGAAGAAAAAAATTAAGGAAGAAACAGACAAATGGAAGCATATCCATGTTCATGGATTGGAGGAATTTAACATCATCAAAATCTCCATACTACCCAAAGCAATTTATAGATTGAACGGAATCCCTTTTAAAATACCACTAATGTATTTCACAGATATAGTACAAACATTTAAAAAATTTATATGGAACCATAAACAACCTTGAATAGCTGCAACAATTTTGAGAAAGAATAACAAAGTAGGAGGGATCACAATACCTGACATCAAACTATATTACAAGGCCACTCTTCTCAAAATAATCTGGTACTGGCATAAGAACAGACACATAGATCAGTGAAACAGAATACAGAGCCCAGAAATACACCCACGTCTCTATGGTCAATTAATATTTGATAAAGGGGGCAGAAGCAGAAAAGGGAGTAAAAATAGCCTCTTCAACAAATGGTGTTGGGAGAGCTGGACAACTACGTGCAAAAAATTGAAGTTTGACCACCAGCTTACACTATACACAAAAATAAACTCAAGATGGGTAAAAAATATAAGTTGCAACACAGTAAAAGTCCTACAGGAGAACATAGGCAGGAAACTCTTAGATATCCCACACAGCAATATTTTCACCGATATGTCTGCTAGAGCAAGGGACATAAAGGAAAGAAGAAACAAATGGAACTTCATCAAAATAAGAAGCCTCTGCATGGCTAAAGAAAACATCAGCGAAATGAAAAGAGAGCCAGCCGTATGGGAAAATATATTTGCCAATAACACCTCAGACAGGGGTTTGATCTCCAAACTCAATAAAGAGCTCACATGACTCTACCCTAGAAAGACAAAGAATCCAATTAAAAAATGGGCAAAGGACCTGAACAGACACGTGTCCAAGGAGAACATACACAGGGCCCAGAGACATATGAAAGGATGCTCAGCATCACTAGCCAGCAGAGAAATGCAAATTAAAACCACAATGAGATACCACTTCACACCAGTCAGAATGGCTGTCATAAACAAATCAACAAACAACGTGTGCTGGTGAGGTTGTGGAGAAAAGGGAACCATAGTACACTGTTGGTGGGAATGCAGACTGGTGCAGCCAGTGTGGAAAATATTTTGGAATTTCCTCAAAAAGCTAAAAATGGAACTGCCTTTTGACCCAGTGTTTCCACTGCTGGGATTATACCCTAAGAATCCCGAAACACCAATTCAAAAGAACCAGTGCACCCCAATGTTCATAGCAGCACAATTAACAATAGCCAAGTGCTGGAAGCACCTAAATGCCCATCAGTAAATGAGCGGATCAAAAGACTATGGTACATTTACACAATGGAATAATACACAGCAGAAAGAAACAAAGAGCTGCTGCCCTTCAGGACAGCATGGATGGAACTGGAAAGCATTATGCTAAGTGAAATCAGCCAGGGGGCGAAAGACAAATACCATATGATCTCACCTATAAGTGGAACCTAACCAACAAACAAATAAGCAAGGGAAATATAACCAGCAACACTGAAGGAAAAAAGAAACCAACAGTAATGAGAGGGAAGGAGGAAGGGAGGTAATGGAGAAAGGAAAGGGAAGGGTCTAATCAAGGGACATGGATAAAACACCCCCGGACAAAGCCACAGTGGGGAAGGACTGAGGGAAGGAGGTTGGGGTGGGTGGAGGGCAGGGGAAAGTGGTGGCCGGAAAATGGAGACAAATGTATTTGAACAATAAAAAAAAATTTTTTTAAAATAGGATGTCATTTTATTTTGCATATTTAACAATAAAACCATTACGGCAATGCCTGGCTGTTCTGTCCTTTCCCAGGTGAACATGGATGACCGATTTGGGCAGATCATGATTGAACATCTGCGGAGACGACAATGTGACCTGGCAGGGGTGGAAACCTGCAAGTCCTTAGAGTCGCAGGTAAGAGAGCAGACACTGGGATATCCTCTTGTCCCCTTAGCCAACAAAGAAAGGGTGTCCACCCTTCACTGATGGCAGAATGTGAGCAGCCCTCTAGAGGGCCTGTGTGCAGCGGGCTAGTGGTGCACGGGGGCCAGTAGTTCAGCATGCTGGGGAAGTCCTAGTCTGCTTTCCCACCTTGGTATCAAAAATACATATTTCCTTCACCCTGTTATTTTAATTTTTTATTATGCATTTTTCAAACAGCAGAAAAGTAGAGGGAATTACAAAACAAATACCCATGAACCATTAGCCAGCTTCAGTAATTAATACTTTATTCCCTCCAAATTTTTATTGGTGTTGCCTTTGGAATATTTTAAGGCAAATCCCAGATAGTATATCATTTCCTCCCCATAAATAGTTCAGTATAAATCTTCTACCAATAGGAATTTCTTCCCCCCAGGTTAATGATAATACCGTGATTACATCTTAGAAATTGACAATGACTCCTTTGTAGCATCTAACACCCAGTTCATGTTCAGTTTCTACAATTATTTAAATGATCATAGTTAGTGCATTTGAATCAGGATCCAAACATGGTCTGCACTGTTTTATGTCCCCAGATCTCTTGGAATCGATGGTAGTCTCATCTCTTTTTTTAAAATGTCATTTTTTGACTGAAGAGACACCTACTCCTGCCCTTATTTAAATCGGTATCAGTCCGTGTTCAGTATAGAACACTGGAAAATAAGAAAGATGGTAGGGGCTGGCATGGGGTTTGGAAAGAGGAGTCATGTAAGAAATTCTCACATGTTTAAAGATGTCTGCATTTATGACAGTGCCTTGTGGTTCTCCATTTCTCTCCACTGCACATTTCAGAAAGAACGGCTCCTGTCAAATGGATGGGAAACAGCCTCAGCCATGAACATGATGGAATTGTACAGCAGATTACCTCGGACAGAAGTCAGCAGGTATAGGAGGGCAAGGGTTAGGTCTTTGGTCAGTATCTATGAACTAGCATGAAACCAACAAAACCCTAACCAGACCCATTTTGAAACAAACTAACCTGCTCCTACAGACTAAGCTTTCTAGCACCACAACAGTAACTCATTAGCTGTTAGCTGAGATAGGGTTTATGTCAAAACAGATGATCTTTTCAAAAGTAGTGACTACCTGCAAAATTCCCAGAGCAACCTCTGCAGTGGAAATTGTGCACCATCCTCCTGTTTAGGAGTGGAAGGAGGAGGACTTTGTTGAAGGACTTCTAAGGGGGAAAAAGCCTGTTTGCAGAATTTTAAGTGGACTTTTGCTCTCATAACAGAAATACACACTTGTTCTAAAACAATTTTCAAGTAATGGAAAGTACATGAAATTTAAAGCCATGCTGTCTGCACCCACACCCTCCAGAGAGAGCTGCTGCTCAGGAGTGGGGTGCATTTTTTCTCTATGCATGTAGAAAGAGGAGTACTTACAATGACTATGTAGATTTGTATTTCTTGAATTCGTAGCTTCATATTACACATGTTAGTCCGTAGATTGCCCTCCTTTTTAAAAAACTAACAGTAGATTGTATTTATCTTTACCTATCAAAACACTGAAGGTTTTATGTTTATGCACCATTTTAATATGGTTAATATGCATAACCATGGTGCATATTATTCCTTTGCATGTGTGGATGAGTTGTGGTGTCCTGTATTTCATTTTGTTTAGTTTTAATTTCCCTGCTGTAAGAAATATTGGCAGGCACATCACCATATTCATCTCTGTGCAGTGTTATTGCCAGCTTTTTTAAAAATACTTATTTTGTACTTCCTGTTTTGTGCTTCCTCTCACCTTTGGGGACCTATAGGTATAGCTGTTTGTCTCTTGAAAGATAATGAGAATTTTTGGTCTTGCTTCTCCACAGACCTTCTTAACTTTAGAAGTATCAATTTTTTTTTCAAGACTGTATGTCAAAGTCTTGAAAGTCTGTGCTACCTCCACATGAGCAGGTCAGTGCTTCCTGCATTCGTCTTGAGTTTTGCGTTCCCACAGACTGGTTTTTATTTGCTTCATGTCAAGATGACTGTTCTGAAGAGCCGCGGTCTAGCACGTGTGACGGAACCGCTCTCACAGCTCTTCCCAGTTCCCAGGGAGGAGTCTGTAACTGGCACCAGCCGAGAGGCAGCAACTTCTAGGCAGTCGTTTGTCCCATGTTGTGGTGGTCTTTTGTAGACAGCAACATGTGTCCCCAACAGAAGTGGGTGATGAGATGGGACAGCTCTCGTGTGTCTACCCCAGGCTAAATGGTCCTCCCAGCTGTGTGAATGCCACATAGTTTGTGTCCACATCTGTCAAGGATTTTGCCAGATACCATGCACAAAACAGGCCTATTGATTTAACAGGTGCTGAGTGTATAGTGTGTGCCACATACTCTTCTGAGCATGGGAGGAATAACTGATCAAAACAGGGCAGTGATATGCCTTCTTGTGGAGTTCACCTTCTCATGAACAGCTATCTTCTGGCAGCCGAACTTGATAACAGCATTTTCTTTTTAGGGTGCTGGTTTCTTCTAGAACTTGGTATTAAGAAGCCTGCCCTGAATGTCTTTTGATTAGTTGGGAACATTAGTTAGGAAGCAACCATGTCCTTTATGGGTAGACATTCTCACTTCAGATGTGACCTTTGGGCCTACATATCAAGGCAGGAACAAGTGCAGAAATGCATAAACATGCACAAATGTGTGCACATATGTACACCCACACACACTCAGGCTGGATAAAAGGCAATTCCAGAGTGTTAGTATTGGCCATTATGAATAGCAGGACTAGGGATCATTTTATTGTTTTTTATACTTTTTGGAAATGTCTGAATTTTTTCTCCACAGTGTTTCCATATGACAGAAAATATTTTAAAAAGCTAGTTCATATATTTGTGCGTGTTTCTGTGTGTGCATAAATTTAAAAATTTATATTTAAAATACTTTTTTGAAAAAAACTATGTAAGCACATGATTGAAAAAAATTAGTATAGAGTGAAAACAAAACCCTCACCCCACTCACCCTCACTGCTCACCTACTACCTCCTGTCAGTTTTTTCTGTATTTTCCAAAATAGTCTACTCTTCAAAAGTTCTGTGCATGTATGAGTATATGTACTTTTACTTTTTATTTACATAGATAGTAGTCAACCATGCACATTACTTACTAAAACAACCTACTTTTTCAATGCCATGATATGTCTTAGAGGCTGTTCATGTCAATACATATAGACCTTCCCTTTCTTTTAATTGGCTGTCAGTGTCCTGTGTGAATATGCTTTAATTTATCAGCCCATCTCTTCTAGTTTCTGGGAATTTTAGCTGTCCCCACATAGCAGCTGCGATGCTTCAGTGACTGTTCTTGAACATGGATCTTTGTATACATCCAGGATAGATTATCAGAGCAGAATTGCTGAGTGAAAGGGTGCATGTTATAAACATCGACGGAGAGGTGAAGTTGTCCTCCAGAGAGGCCGTCCTATTCTGTAATCTTACCCGTAATGCAGGAGGGCTCCTTTTTTCCCTGTTCTTTCTTTAGCATAGCAGCCTTTGAATGCTGTCCATCTGATAGTTGGAAAGGTGTCAAGTATTGAAATGTGCATTTTTTTTCTCATAAATGAGACTGAAAAATCTTGCTTTTCTTTTCCAGCAGACTGGTCTTACCTGCCTTTTTAAAAATTAAAGTATAATTGACATAAAATACATAAGTTTCAGGTATACAACATAGAGATTCAACATTTACATATGTGACTATTTCCCCTGTGCTCTACATTACATTCCTTGACTGACTTAGTTTATAACTGGACTTTCGTACCACTTATTTCCCTTCACCTTTTCATCCATCCTCACAACCCCTACCCATCTTTTAAATGAATTTTTGAAGTTTTCTTAATGAAGTACAACAGCTCTTTATACAACAAGGAAATCTATCCTTTGTTATTTGTATTGCAGGTTTTATTTTTTTGTTTGTCCTTTGTCTTTTGATTTTGCTTATGGTACTTGTTTCTTTTCAATAAAAATAAAATGGAACCACAACTTACCTACTATCTGTGGCCTCTCTTCCCATAGTCTGTGTCACGAACACCTTTCCATGTCTGTGACTGGGTGTTGTCCTCCTTTCTAATTGTACACATCTGTACTGTTCTGCCAGAATCGAGGCCCTGGAATTCCTGGACGAGATGGAGCTCCTGGAGCAGCTTATGAAGCATTACTGCCTATGCTGGGCGACCAGAGGGGGAAGTGAGCTAGGTACCGACCTTCACCTTTGCTTTGACCTAAAAATGAGAACCTTTTCATGTGCAAAGGATGCGAGACATAGCTGAACTTGGAGCCCAGGAGCACTTGAGCATTGTGCGTGCCCATGGCTGCATCCAGGATTAGCCATCATACCCATGTTCTGTACACTGAAGCAGGAGAGCTGTCAGGTGGAGCCCGTGCACCAGAACCTGCTGTGGAATTGCCTCAAGTGGACGATGACAGACTTCAGGAGTTTAAAATAATGATCTTAGTAAAAGTAACTAGTGTCTGCTTTTTTAATCAGTTTATAACTAGGTCTACTAGAGGGTAAACACAGATCATGATGTCCCTCCAACAAACCCCTACAACTGTGGATTGAGTATCTCCCTCTGATACCTTCTAATGAAGGTGACATCACCCAGCCTGGAGAGGAGGGCTGTGGGGAGAGCATGGACCCCCTGTTCCCTTGGTCTCACTCCAGTTTCTCCTTACAGCCACCCTTCGTTCATCCCTCTTCCTCAAGGGTCATTTCTTGGGCACATCTCCAGCTTTGTGGAGACCACTTAGATCCCATTTATGGCCTTGAACATAGTAGCTGCCCCTCAAGCTTCCTACAGATGTGTCCCAATGATGTAGAGGCAAGGACTGTCCCCCATATGAAGACTCCAGGCTGAAAGAGGCACTTAATCATTCCCCTGGAGCTTGTCATCCCCACTAGTTTATATATTTACTCAGCTGTGCATTTTAGCCCACAACTTCATTTTCAGTTTGTTTTTTACTTAAAATCACTTACTAGCCCTAGCCAGTGTGGCTCAGTAGTTTGGAGCATCATCCCATAAACTGAAAGGTCGTGGGTTCGATTCCCAGTCAGGACACATGCCTGTGTTGTGGGTTTGGCCCCCATTGGGGCATGTATGATAGGCAGCTAGTCGAAGTTTCCCTCCCTCTCTTCTTCCTCTCTCTAAAAGTCAATAGACATGTCTTCAGGTGAGGATAAAAATGAAATCACTTAGCAGGTTTTTTATATTGCTATGCCCCTCCAAATTTTCAAAACAATGTAATTTTTACTATGACAAAAGAATAATCATGTGGGTGCCCATCCCTCAGAGAGAACCTCTAGTAACTTGCTCCTCTCACTGTTTTGGTAGCTCTTGTTGCATTTCTAGCAGACTTGAATTTATAGATTTGTATAACTTTGATTCCTGACCTTTTCAACTTAGCATTATAACACGAGCATTCCCCCTTGCTATTAAAAACTCACCAAATGTGACTTGAATGGCTTCATGAAATTCCGTCATGAGGCTATTTCCAAATTTACTTAATTTTCCCAAACTTTTGAAGTGTGGGTTGTGTGTAATATTTTGAGTTGATTTTAGGTTTTACAGAGTAACAGTATATTGAACATTGCTATGATGGGGTCTTCATTTGTCCTTCATCTGGCTGCCATGATGTCTCCACATGTGTGTGTATGGTGAAGAAGCATGTCTGCATTTGCTCCGAGTTCAGCTCTTAAAGGACAGGCTGGTTTTAACAGCAGAGAGCTCCATAAACTATGACAATCCTTTCTTTTTTTTTTTTCTTTTCTTTTTTTTTTAAATGCTCTCTTGAGGACATGCTTATTGATTTTAGAAAGAGGGAAAGGAAGGGAGGGAAAGAGAAACTGATTGTTTGTCTCTCGTTCCTGCCCTGACGGGGGGACAGAACCTGCAGCCTAGGCATATGCCCTGACCAGGAGTCAAACCCATGACCTTTCAGTTTTCGGGTTGAAGCTCCAACCAACTGAGCCATACCAGCCAGGGCTGACAGTGCTTTCTTCATACCTTTAAAACCACCCATGAACACAGCCTTGTGCACAGCTTGTTTCCAGGTGAAATCTCATCTTAGGAAGCAGGAGGCCAGAACTGCAATGGTCAGGGGTGTGGCCTGTGCTCAGAACCAGCCAAAGGCCGGGTCCAGTGGGGTCGCACTCTCCCACCTCTGCTTTTTCTCTCCTCAGCTCTGGAAGTCTTTCAGCTGTGTGTTTTCCCCCTTCAGGTTTGAAGGAGATCACTTATTAACCTTTTCAAGGCTTGTGCTGAGCCAGAAGCTGCAGCCACTGACCTACCTGAAGTTGATACGCGAATCTCCTGAATGACGGCCAGGCCTTGTTGACCAGTCCATTCCACACTCAAGAAACCAGCTACTAGTGCTGTCGCACCACTTCCTGTTCCTGTTGACTCATCGTTTAAATAAATCTCAGTTGCCAATTGCCTGTGTGGTGGTCCTTCCCTCCCCTGGGTGGGCTGTGGTTTTTCTCCATGGTGAGCTGAAGCCCAAGGTCCCGACTCCTGCCCTGACCTGGCAGATTGCCTGGTGTCAGACACAGCTCTTGCCCTCCCCATCCTTTGGGATTTACTCCATGTGCTCTTGTTTGCAGCAGCTAACATTGCACCTGTACCTTGACCCTGGGCCACTGGATGCTGGAGCTTCTTTCTGCTCCTGTTTCTGCCCCTGCCAGACTAGCCCGCAGAAGTCCTTTTTCCTCAGTTACTGTGGAGGCTGAATGAGGGCCCCCGAAAATGTACCCCACATCTCTCTAACCTGTGAGTATGTTACCTTACGTGGCTAAAGGGGCTTTGCAGGTGTGATGAAAGATCTGGAGGAGGGAAGGTTATCCAGGAGTATGTGGGTGGGCCCAATATTACCACAAGGGTCCTTACAAAGGGAGACAGGAAGGTCAGAACAAGGTGTGACACCTTGGGACAAGAGCCGAGGAATATAGGTGGTCACTCAGTGCTGCAGAGGACAAAAGTCATTCTCAGAACCCCCAGAAATAACCAGTTCTGCCAGCACCTGGAGTGGAGCCCAGTTTAATGAATTTCGGATTTCTGACCTCCAGAACTGTTTGAAGCCACTAAGTTAGTGGTAATTTATTATAGCAGCCATAGAAAACCCATACAGCTATGACAAGAAAAGGAACCCTAGAGTGTTTATCCCACAGTTCAGAAATATAAGCGATGTTTACCCTGGTGAACTTTGGGTCTGTGACCAGCTGTGAACCTGGACCTGCATATGCAGAATGGCAATGGGGAACCCCCCGGCCTCTCCTCTCCTAGAAGGATAACGACTGATTCCACCATTTGATCTCTTGATCAGTGTTCCTTAGAGTGGGCTGCAGCCCACTCTACACACCTGCATGCTGTGGATGGAGTTGAGGGCCTGAGGCAACATGAGCTAACAGTCACCCAGTGAGAAGATCCAGGAGACGACCCTCAGACTGGTACCGGTGTCTGTAATGCTTCTGTAATGCAGTTGTTCCTCTTACCCACGGTTTTGCTTTTCATGGTTTCAGTTACCCGCCGTCGACCATGATCCAAAACTATTAAATGGGAAATCCTAGAAATATACTATTCGCAAGTTTTAAATTGCATGATAAAATGAGCAGTGTGATGAAGTCTACCACTGCCCTGCCCGGGATGCAAACCATCACTTTGTCCAGGGGATCCATGTGATACATATTCCCCACCAATTAGTCACTTAGTAGGTGTCTCAGTTATCAAATGGACAGTCGAGGCATTGCATCCTTATTTTGCTTAATAATGCCATATTTGCATAACATTTCAATAGTTACAATTGTATTTTATTATTTTTGTTAGATTAATCTCTTACTGTGCCTAATTTATAAATTAAAATTTATCATGGGAAGTATGTACAGGGAAAAACAGCATATATAGCAATCCATACTATCTGCAGTTTCAGGAACCCACTGGGGGTCTTGGAATGTATCCCCAGGTAAGGGGGGATGACGCTATCTATCTCTGGAACACTGGACTAAATACAAGAATATAATTTTGAAAACCTAGAAGCAATGGGAGGCTTGCAGAAATGCTGCGTCTAGATGTTCCTGAAAACTGGGCCTTTTACACAAGATTCCATAGCAGTGAGGTCTGAGCCTTTGGTGAAGACCTGGAGGTCAAATTTACTGAGTGGCTCACCTCAAAAATGTAAAGAGCTCACAATGCTTAAATGTTTTTACAGGTGGAGGGAAGGCCTAAGGTCTTCATAGGAAAATGAAACAGCTGATGTCAGAAGTAGAGCATTGCAAGGCAGCTGCTTCAAGTACAAAATGGACCTGCCGTATCCGCCTTAAAACCCTCTGTAACTCGGCATCCTGTTTGCTGCCTCTGTGGCCCTTGCCTACATTTGTCATTATTCATATTCATCCCACAGGTATTTATCAAGCACCTCTATGTGTCATGACAGACTATCTCATGGTACCAACCAGAAAATTCCAGACTGACCAGTTAATACTGCATTCCTGGAGAAGATTGAAATTGTGGATAGATCAGGTATTAAGTCTTGGTTTGTTGTCATGGGTTAAGAACAAGTGACTCCATTTGGGGCCTGTGGTTTGTTTCTGCTTCACATTTGTCAACTTGAAGATCAACATAAGAGAAAAAAAGAAAAGCCTCTAGCTTCCTGTAGCAACATGTACTGAAATAATACAAGTGCTGTTGAAGTCAAGTGCCTGTCTAGGCTGGACCACTAACACCCGGGGAGCCCCTGGAGGGAAAGGCAGGTGGTCAGTGAACTCAATCCAAGCTCTTGCTCAGCTTAGTGTGGGGAATCATCCTGTTGCTTCTCTGCAAACAGAGCTTGCTAAACTCAGTGACTGAGGAGTGAAATGACCTGGGAGACCTCGGGGAACTCAGGCGAGATCCATTGTTTCAAATGTGGGTGAGCTTGGTCCCGAGGCCTGAAGCCTGAAGTGGATCGAGGCTTCCAGAAGGCAGAGCAGAGAAAATTTGAGACACATAAGGAGATGAAACCCATTAAGGGAGTGCGGGGTGGGTATCCTTGAGGAGTGGGAGTCAGGGACTGGGACCCTAATTGTATCCTAGTGAAATTGCACTGAAAAGAACATCACAGGAAGGGGAGTCAAAAAGGGCACCATCCACCTCGGTGCTGGTGATGTACTGGGGTAGACTGCAGACATCTGCCAGAGTCTGTCTCCATTGGGAAAAGCTGTGTGATCTGCTATGGCCAAAGAGATAGCAAAAAACAGCCATGGGTGGCAGCTTGCAGGTGCTTATGTACTGGGCTTCCCTTCACTTGGAGCTCTTGGGAAGTACGTGGTGACTCCTGTTTGAGGGAAGAGGGCTTGCCTGTTGAGTGAGAAGACCAAGTAGGGTAGGCATGAGCTGTCCCAGATGAGGCCCTCCCTAGACCCAGCTGACCAAGCCAGCCCAGATCAGAAACATCCAGCTCACGTGCAGGGTCATGAACGAAATGAATCGTGATTGTTTTTAAGCCACTAGATTTGGGGAGAGTTTCTACTCCTTAGTAGGTGACCAGTACAGGTGAAAATGTGGGTGGCGGAAGAAAACAAATTATTGGCTAGTTGCCTCCTTTATTGTTCTGTGCCAAGCTGTGTGCTGGTGTGCAGATTTAACAATAGATCCAGCAGATGGAGTCCCTGTGCTCACAGAGCACCATCCAGTGGTGGCCCCAATGAAGAACTTGGCCATTTCAGTGTCTTGTAACCACTGCAGGAGGAAGCGCTGCAAGGTGCTACGGAGACAGCTGTGTAAACTGAGGTCAGAGGATGTGCCAAGTGGGTGGCACCGGGGGTGGAGAAAGGAAAAAGTATCTGACTGTGAGAGTGTAGATTCGTAGACGAGAGAGTAATTCCCCTTGGCTGGAGCCATGTGCTTCAAAGGGGCACACATTTCCCCTGTGGGTTACAAAGATACCACAGAGGACTCACAAGGATGCTTTTTTAAAAAATTTAAATTACGTTTTATTGTTTGTGCTATTACAGTCGTCCCCATTTTTTCCACTTTGCCCTATTCACCCAAACCCACCCACTCCCTCAGACAATCCCTACATCATTGTCCATGTCCATGGCTACTGGACATGTCCATGTCCATATATATTCTTTGGCTACTATATCTTGTGTGCTATACTTTACATCTCCATGGCTATTCTGGAACAACCAATTTGTATTTCTTAATCCTTTCAATTTTTTTACCCATCTCCCTGACTGCCCCTCCCATCTGGCAACCATCGAAATGTTCTCTGTACTTATGATTCTGTTTCTAGTTCGTTTATTTGGGTTTTCAGATTCAATTATTGATATATGTGTATTGCCATTTTATTTTTCATGTTTTTGATCTCCTTAAAGATGAACCTTTATTGTTTCATATAATACTGTTTTGGTGGTGATGAACTCCTTTAGTTTTTTCTTTCCTGAGAAGCACTTTATCTGCCCTTCCATTATAAATGATAGCTTTGTTGGATAGAGTCATCTTGCTTTTTATGACTTTGAATGTTTCTTGCCATTTCCTTCTAGCCTGCAAAGTTTATTTTAGTAAAAGGTGAAAGATTTATATGATCTGAAGAGAAACCAGAGTATAGTTTCTTTTAGAAATCAGCTGACAGTTTTATGGGAACTCCCTTGCAGGTAACTAACTGCTTTTCTCTTGCTACTTTTAGTATTCTCTTTTTGTCTGTAAACTTTGGCATTTTAATTATGTGTATTGGTGTGGCCCTCTTTGGGTTCATCTTATTTGGGACTCTCTGCCCTCCTGGACTTGCATGACTATTTCCTTGACCAAGTTGGAGAAGTTTTTCTGTCATTATTTTTTCAAACAGGTTTTCAATTTCTTGCTCTCTCTCTTCTCATTCCAGCACCCCTATTATGTGAATATTGGTACATTTGAAGTTTTACCAAATGCTCCTTACAGTATCCTCATTTTTAAAAAATTTTTCTCTTGCTGTTCTGATTGGATGTTTTTTTGCTTCCCTATATTCCAAACTGATGATTTGATTTTTGACTTCATCCACTCTATTGTTGATTCCCTGTAAACTGTTCTTCATTTCAGTTAGTGTATCCTTCATTTCTGACTGGTTCTCTTTTATGATTTTATGTCCCTTTTTAAGCTGTTGAAGTTTTCTCTGAGTTCATCTGCTTTTGCCCTAAGTTCATTGAGAATCCTTATAACCAGTGTTTTGAACTCTTCATCTTATCTCCATTTTGTTTAGTTGTTTTTCTGGAGTTTCATGCTGTTCTTTCATTTGGGCCATGTTTCTTTGTCTCCTCATTTTGGAAGTCTCCCTGTGTTTGTTTCTATGTATTAGGTAGAGCTGCTACAACACACTAGCTTGGTAGAGTGGCCTAATGTAGTAGGTGTCCTGTAGGGTCCAATGGCATAGCCTCCCCTTTCACCCAAGCTGGCTGTTTGGGGTGTGCCCTCCATGT